GTGTGCTTAGTCATATCGCAGTCAAGATTATATTTCTTATGAGCATAACAAAAGGTAAATGAGTGTTGCCAACCAAGTGAGTCGTATGTATTAATCTTTAGTTGATTTGGCACGGTGTAGATAGACGGCCATACATTCAGTGGAGCCTATTCTCCCGTGCCTGGTGAATCCCGACCGAAAGCTGAAAGTAATTGCAGCAAAGTTGCTTAATGTAAAAAAATGAAGCTAATAGCAGCTATTGGAGCACATTTTAACCATAGTAACGGGATAATTTGTTTGTTTTGACTGACCATCCTTCAGATTTCTCCGTTGATGAATACGACACCAAAAGAATTGATAATTCTTCTCGGCCTGGATATGAGCTAGGTAGCACAGTTATGCATCGCTGTTGTTGTTGTTGTAGATTTTGTGAAACTGCACCCTTGAAAAGCTCCTGTTCGTCGATGATCGATTCCAGCTCGCGCCCATGCTCAGCACATATTAGACAGCCTCATGTATCCGACGATGTCCAAGTATATTACAAAACGAGTATATGGTTGAACGCATGATGGCCTAAGATGAAATCTTTANTCTTTAGGATGGTCGGTCAAAATCAATATTGGAGTCATGGTGAACTCAAAATAATGTTTCGATGAAACCCTGAATGTCCAGAATCCTGACAACACCAATGTAGCATTGACTTCAAGTTTTAGCACTACCTCAAGCAGAAAAGAAAGCTTTTCAAAATTTTCCGTTCAATAATAGGATGCAAACAATCAATAAAAATGTTATCGTTTCAGGCACTGACAGCATTCACAAATGATAACCACTTGTTAGCTAACAGAATGGATAAAATAATTAGGGACCTAATGGAGATTTCATACTCAGTCACACCGCCCGTTAAATGGAGACATTTCGAACTGGAAAGGACCACAAAATATTTTTAAAAGCACTCAAATTGTCAAAAATCGGGTAATTATATGACTATTAAGAAAATGGAAGCAATTTTTTCATCCTAAACAGGAGTCTCTGGTTCAATTCCAACTAACAGACGACAATGAGTTTCAAATCATCGTGATTTTTTAAAATTGTATATAAGAAAATTGGGCAAAAAGGGATTACCTTTCGTGCCCCTTGTTAAATTTCTTGAACCACAAAAATTGAATTTTCAAATCTTAAGATAGGTTGGTTACTGATTTATCAAGGCGAACTTCTGAATTCAGTTCCGTAAGCTTTTATGCGAAATTTTTGGAGTTAAAAGAAAATATAACAGAAATTCGAACATCTTTCGTGATGTATAGATAGGGCAACGTATCATAATATCGAATTATGTGAACCACAACAGAAATATTTAATATAGCGACCGTTTTAAAATTCAAAACACAATGCCGATCAAATGGGGCAGATAAACTGACCCATTCACTCCTTTTCATGATGTGAACGTAGCTTTGTTGCTACGGCATTGTCTTTTTTGACTGCTATGGCAACGCGTAACCATCTAATGAAAAGGGCTATGTTTTTGCTCAGGTGTCCAAGTTCAATTCAACCAATGATTGGGAATTTTACTTTCAGTTTATTCTTTTTTGAAGTCAATCGCCAAGCCCAATTGTTTTTCAACACTTTTCGTATTCTATAGCTCGACACTGGCCCATATTGATGTCAAACTTCATTGCAGAACTTTGTCTGACAGAACAGTCTGACGATGAGCAATAGCGTGCATACGTGTACATACCAACTTCGTTTGCATCAGATTTTTGCAAAGTACGCATACTACTCTATTTGTTTTTTTTTCGGGAGTTGTGAATCAGGAGGAATCCGCGTGGCAAACAGCGCTTGTTTAATATCTTATTAACGAAATATTGATTTTCTCCTATATTAAAAATATATTGAATCTAACATGAAACATACCTTATGCTGTACGCAGCAGAAGTTAGAAATGACTAAGCACGTATGTGTTGGAAGTCTAACCTCTGGTTTGCAGCAGTCAGCTACTAAATCCTTTGGTTAAAATACATGTGAATGGACTGTTCATTTTTTATACAAATGGTCTTTCCATTTATTACAAAATGCAAATTTAAACACATCTGGTGTCAAAGATCAGTCGAATTCAAAGAGAATACTGTGAAATTTTCATTTTTCCTGTTTCCTCCTCCATGTTATCCAGCTCCATGTGTTTATGAGATCCAGTAAAAACGGATAACTAAATAAGAGAGGCATACCGAAAACGCCTAGTCGTACTTACTGTATTTTCTGGGACGAGTCAGGTGGGTGTACGGACAGCCTGATTACGGATAACTGTCCGGGAACCGATTCACACTGATTCGCCAGCCAGAACACGGTAAACCGTTCCTGTTTTCTGGTTGAGAATGTGAATCGATTGTGTTGTGGAACTTCCAGATTCCCAGATTCGGCACAAATCTTAGAGCGTACTGAGGCCGGGTGTGTTACCGTGGCCGAACTGGCCACATAGCCCAACAATCGACCCTGACTACACATGCCAATACCCAATAAGGACAGGGAGAGTGTCTGATTAGGGAAAACGGTGGACTGAACACTGTCAGATGACCAAGCATTCTGTTCCCATCTGAGTATCGAGCCGGCCTCGTTTAGGAACGAGCGGAGCAAATCGTTCGCTTGTGTCTCACTCAGACCATGAGTGTTTTGATGGAATCGATGCAACACTTGGGACAATTGGACCGCATTTTTCACATCCAGAACGTAATTGCGGGTTAAATTTTTCGGGACAAATAGTTTATGGAACACGGGATGGAATGTGACAGCCAAATCGACCGGTGCAGCTGGATTTGCCTGGGCCGGGATCGAACTGGACGGTACTCGTTCCGGTTGCCCCCCGGTTCCAGCATCGGTGGAGAAAGCGAATGTTGGCGAGCAAAAGATTCCACGATTGTGAATGTACTGTACAAAATCTTGTAGTATCGTCTCCTCAGACTGTTTACTGTGTTCCGTGGATTGAGTAACGCAATGACAATATATCCAAGGATTTAATAGTAAATAGGTCACAATTACAACAGTCTGTCGGGTGTAAATCCGGGCACGCCAGACAGTGCGAGACATGACTGCCGGTCAGGTAATTTTTGCCGAGAATTTTTCCAGTTTTGAGCTGATTTGATTAGTACATAATTTCGTTCATGGTCGCGATCACGTGACCGGCAGCATGTGTATTTGAGTCCATTTGTTATACACTAGAATTAGGATACATGTACAAGTGTTGTTTGTTGGAACGTACGTACGATCGTCTTTGCCTAAACAAAATGCATGAGATCAGAGACCCAATAATCTTATCATTTATGCAATTACAAACGATGGCACTGAAGTCGTGACACCGGTCCTTTCGTCTGTAGCATCTGATCGACAACGACCTTGCTATACACAACGCATTTCCGCGCCACAGCCTGCAATGCAAACAGCGCACGATCAGGCATGTTGTGTGAGAGTGGAGCAGTGCGTTCGAGTGCGTGTGTGCATACGCGTGTGCGGATGACTATGCATAAACGGACACCGCCTAAGTTTAACACACACACACAAGCAACAGCAATGGGACAGAATGAACTGGACAAATAGAGAAACGGACCGACGGACAGCTCGATAAGTCTGGTAGGAAATAGAGAAATGACGAGCAAGTGGGCAGGCGAGAGACGTCCAGACATATCCAGATGAACGAGGACAGTATAACCTTGTGGTTGGGGCAGAAGAAACAATCTCCCCTCAGCTGATTGGTCAGTTGCCACGACAGGCAACACAGGCAACAGTCGACACATATATAGACATTTGGGACAAAAGGTCACTCAGACCCGGGGCACAGCTCGGTATCGATAGTCGGTCGATAGGGGTGGTGGCAGTGGTAGGTGCACAGACAGCATCGGTAGCTATCCCCGCTGATCGTCGCAGACCTACCTCGCCGTGCAATTGAAACCGCGCACAGACGAGGGGACATAATCGCGGAGTGGAGGACGGACGGGCTAGGGACGGCGGTGGCTTGGCCCAAAAGAACGACAATCTTGGTGACTTAGTAGTAGTACAGGCGAGTAGCCGGAACGTCGTTGGATGTTAGCGTTTCGTGATCGATAAGCCCCGCTACTAAGACTGATTGTCAGCCGGTGTACGCAGAGGTAAATATCGACAATGGTAAGTAACATCGAATGTTCTACCTGGTAACGAAAGAAAATCGATCCTGAATATGGTTCACTAACTGCGTACGCAATGCATCCCTTTAGCAGCCTCAAATGCACTGGTTTACAAAGCAATTGGATCAGTCGAGAAGTATGGTGTTATTCAGTACCGAATTCACTACATGTCCCTCTCGATATTCCCCTGATAATACCTTTTATTGTTTGAGGAAGATCAGGTGCAACATGAGCGTCCGCTGTAAGACAGTGATGAAATGATCTATTTCGATACAGGGTTGATCAATTCAACCAGTTCCTTTCAGTCTATCTGGGTTCGGTGCATTCCGTTGTGTACTTTGTCAGCCTCCGTCCGAAACCACAACAGGCTATTCTTAGTTCACACCAGACCGGAGCTGCGCACACAGTCTCGGTAATTATAACTTGAAGTTACTCATACTATGCAAACCGTATATCAACAGGTCAGGCATCTGGTACAGTAATAGTAAGTTCCTTGAAAAAATTCACTCTCATTATTAGGTTTCAACGCGGGTGAAAATTTCAACCATATATGTATATAAATCCTACTACCCCTTTTTACGTCAAGGTGCACATAATCGGCGCTGTTTTTGCAACATCAGTGTTGTGAAGCAAAAAAAGGTGGACAGCCCTGGTGGCAATCAACATTATTTTGCACAATATATCAGTTGGTTCTCGATCCTAAACTAATCCATCCATCCATCCATCCATCCATCCATCCATCCATCCATCCATCCATCCATCCAACCATACACAAGCACATGCACGCACACTAAAACGTGAAACATTCTTCACATGCCGTCAACATGAAATCCTTGCGATCAAAACCTAAGCGACTTATATCGTCTGTGTATTGTGCTTTTATTTCCGACCGTTAAATGCAAAACAAGACTAATGATATAGAGATGAATTGACCGATGTTTTCACTCGGTCGCTGCATATTGCAAGTAAGCTCAAAAGGAGACCTTTTACTGTAAATGCTGCTAAACAGAACATGCGGAGTACACCGCTTCGATAAGAATATATAATAATGTACTATATACTGTATACTATATACTATATATATGTACCATAATATGATTGAAAATATCAACCACCACCATCGCGCATCATGTAAGTACTAAATGGTGTGAACTGTGTTTGGACTAGTTACATGATAATTTGTACTAACATATTTAGATAGATCGGATTGATTTCGATCACTTTTTCCAGTGTAATAGTTATTGATTTCCCAAGACAATCAGCAGTTTTCAATGCGCTTGTTTTCGGCAATACACAGTGTTCTCTTTCCCACGTATTCCGCTCCTTGACCAAATTAGTGTATTATATCCATCGGCCCATCCTCGTTAGAACATCCGTTGACGGCTACACTTACAATTTGAAAGTTGTCTATCGTTGCTTAAACTCGTTCATCCAATGTTTTAGCAATTTACCCTTGGATTGACTTGCCAGATGTGTAAATGTCTGTAAATCTGTTCGATTCCTCCTCTTCCTCCGTCACAATATGTGGTCTTATTTCTGTATACCCCTCACTCTGGACCAGTTTTCCTTCTCTGTGAAATCTGCTTTCCTCTGCTTCCAGCCGTTCTACTGCCCACTCATAGGACTGACTGTTTACCACAGCACTATTTTGTGGTGTTAGAGTTCAACCGCTATGTCCATTTGTTCCGGAACCTCCACGCTTGTCCGCTACACTCTGCATCATCAGTTCACGAATTGTCAGTCCTATGCCGCTTTCTTGGTGAGGTGAATTAACTTCCAACATCCCCCAAACCGCTTCCATCTCACTGACTTCGGCTTAGTGACCTTCCAAATGGGATTGTCCACGATCGTCGTTAGCCGAACATGATGTGGCCGTATTATCGCATGGATTGTGCACTAGCTGTGAAAGTTTATGTATTCGCGCTTTCTGGGCTGTTCCAGACCAGCTGCAATTATTCTGACTATTCTGAAAGTAGTTTAGTCTTCAACCCCTCCCCCNCCCCCCCCCCCCCACGCTGCGCCCCAAACTCATTCGTCCCAATAGCCCTGATGCCTCAATGGACACATAAAAATCGGTTCCCCAACGCCTACAGCAGTGCATAAATACTCCGGCGATCTAACACAGTTTGCTTGTAAACCCAAAAAATTATTCACCGTGAACACATTCTTCTTCCTTATTTGTTTTATTATCAAATACTCGAATCAACCGCCCGAGTCATTTCGATATGTTTTCCTTTTCCATTCCTCAGCACTCAGATCCGTTTCTTTTTTCCACGCTTCTATAAAATTTAGATCTTTCCATACGTCAATCACTTATTAGCCTAGCTAACCAATTATTTCAATGAACGAGGGCATATCACAAGACTTGGAAATTTTTCATTCAGACCTTCGATCGACAAACACCTTCGAAGTGCTTCACAGAGATGTGTTGTCCCCATACTTATTTTCCACATACAATTCCGGAATTCTTCTCGATGCTTCCGCGCGTGATCTAATGTTAACGGTTATGATTTTGTATTGTGCCATCTCATCTCTTCTTCCTCAAACTTAATCAGTCTCGAATTCGAGTTTCTCTTTCCCAATCCGAACTGAGTTTGAGTCTATCATTCAGATTCCAAATGGATCAATAAGAATTATTTTGTTACGAGTGAGCTCCATCAAATAAATCTCAGTCTCAATAGACAACAATCTTCGTTAGTCAGCTTACGACTCTGAATTCTAATGCTTTATATTGTTTCAAATTGGATGACCCCGAGGATTTCGCACTTCGCAGTCAGTTATTTCTACTATTTAGCAGTGTATTTTCCTTATCCTACTTTGAACCCCACCGGCTGGTCTTCCCCAAATGATTTATACGGGATTTAAAGTTCAAACATCACCGTCTAGTCGGTATTCTTTGTGTTTCCTCCCTTTATATAAATGTGTGATTTGTGAAAATTTCTAATGACCACAGCTCCGGAGCCAAAACGCTAGCATCACGTTGGATGGAAGGTTTTCGATTCTGCTATTGTCCTTTAAATGTTTGTGATAATCCAACTCTTCATGATAAAGCTAGCGAAGGAGCGAGTGGATACAGCTTCAGATAGACCAATGAGAAGCCGGTGTTCTGGACCAATCACAATCCATCTGGTTCAAACAAGATTCATGTGTCCAACAGAACATGAACAATGATTGATGCTGTTCAGCCAATAATATTCTTCTGTACATGTTTTCTAATCGTACTGATTTAATGAAATAAAGCAGCCACTACTTTTGTGACATGCTTCCTGTATCTCGGTGACCGTAGATTTCGGTAAAAGATTGCCAATGCAATTGCAAGTTTCCATTGCGATTGTGATTCCAATTCGTATCTATTACGATATCCAAGTTTATTCCCCGAATGCTGTTAATGACTCAGTTTTCTTTTTGAAAATTGATTTTAAAGTTATTCGTTCGAAAAAGCACTCAACGTTTTTAAAACAGTTTAAAATTGGTTCGGAAGATTGAAAAAATAGTATAGTTTGTTTAAATGAAGTCGGTTTTATAGAACTATCCCGTTGGTGTTCGGAGGTTAATTCAAGAGAATTGATGAATTATCGAAGGGGTTATATTGCAAAGGACAACACGGAGACCTACACAGATAGACAGACAGACACTGTCAGTCTTATAGTCCTCATCGTCACTATTATTAATGCCGTCAATTATTATTATTATTATTATTATTATTATTATTATTATTATCATCATCATCGCCCTCTCTATCACCGTCATTAGTTTTGCCAAGCATGCGCATTTTAGTTCTAATATTCAGCTCCATGTACTATAGATTTTAGACTGATGTGATCAGTTATCGGGCTTTAAAACTGATATAGAGGCTAAAAGACAGGTGAACGGCTCAATCCTTTTCAACTTGTTTCTGGGTTCACCATCCTCCAGAATTATTTTTCACGC